AAGAGCGGAAAAGAGAGAGTGAAATGAATGTAGTAACTTACAACTTTAAGCATTTCAAGATTTTGCAGTTTCAGTTCTTGATGTGTACTAATTTGAGCCTGCATTAGTGACAATCTACCAGCAAAGGAGCCTGATTTTGTCTACCTAATTCAAAACAGTCAACCTTCATTTTAGGTTGTAGTCATAGTTCATAGAAGCAAACTGAAACACAAATAAAGAACTCAGACAGAGTCCCTACCAAATCTCATCGAATCTATAAATCTCGATACTGAATTTGTGTACTTCTCCACACTATGGCGGGTTGAAGCCTGTGTTTCAGGTTCTCTTGGGCATTTCAACAAGCACCAATCAGGCACTAAACAAAATCCGATTCCACCCACTTGCAATGACAATAAATTAGACAGGCGGTCAATCAAGGGAACAAAACATCACGATAATGAATTTATCAAGGAAGGAAACAACAGTTGAGATGCGATTGAGAATTGAAAAGTTAGGGTTCGAAAAATAAAACCCCCAATGCAGAGAACCAACTCAATCGAAAGCATCCCAACAAAATTACCGGTTCAGTGTAAAGTGATTGTAGCTCAGATCTCCACGACTGAGAGCGATGACGGCTCAATTCTCCATGCCTTGTCACTCATCCCTTCCGCAGAGATTCAAAATTCGGCGTCAAGAAGGAGAGATTCAGCTTCTCTTCGATCACTCTTGCTGAAAAATCTGAAAGGCCGCAAGAGTCTTTGTTCTCGGCAGAGAAGCTAGCTAATCTAGATTTTTCGATCAACGGAGAAGAGGTCGCAACTCTTGGATTAGAACGACAGTGTAGGAAGCCATGATTGAAGGAAGCTTCAGTCTTTTAACTTCGTGCTCTCTCTCTCTCTCTCTCGAGACATTTCTCCTTGTTTATTTATTGATGGAATAACGAAAAACAAAAATCTAACTTTATCTTTTTTATTTTAGTTTTTATAAAGTAAAAGGACAAAAACAACTAAAGACAAAAATAGACTCCTACCAGGCAACCAAAAGTAAAATAAATAAACCTTTCACGACGGTCACATACCCCGTCAATTTTTTTTATGGAAACCATCATTTAACGCCGGTCATGCGCGGCTGCCGGCAAGGGACCGTTGTTATTACCTGAATTTCTTGTAGTGTCACTGCTGACCGTCATTGTCGTCGATCGCCGAGTAAAGGCCATCGTCATTGGCCTCAACTCGACGTCGTTCCTCTTATCATGCTCGTCGTCTGCGTCCCGACATCGCTGAATCATCATCGTTGCCATTGTCCGGTGAGGCTGCTCGGATCTGAGCTCCCGCCAACGCCTTGCCGAGTCCGTCAAATTCAGTCTACAGTCTCATTCAAGCATCGTCGGCAGCTCCTGTCTCGCTGGTCAGTCGAAGCTCCTCGTCTCGCCTCGCTCAGCGCCAGTCCACTAAAGTTCTTGTTCCGTTCATGCTGTTCATGCAAGCAGTCAACGTTTCACGAAGGTCAAGTTGGAGCTATATGTATGCAGGGTTTCACACCAAAGAAAATGGTTCTTACAGTCATGGTAATGGGCATTTTCATTCGTAGATTGAGAAGGAAATACCCACTTCACAATGTCTCTGCTCACTTATAGATGTTGTGATGTTTTATGGTGCTCCCTTCCACTATTGCTAACTCTGCTCAGTCGTGGAAAGGTATCAGTTGTTGAATTCTTGTCGTGCCATGCGAGTCAAGCTCAGCCTTCCAGTCATAGTTGTTGGTCTTGTGCATTGATGTAGATGCTTTTGTTTACTTTCAAACTGGGCATTAATTCACTACGTTCATGCCTCAGCTTGAGGGGGAGAATAGGGCATCATCATACGTGGTCAATCAGTTCAGCATATCGACCACGGTGTTATCAGTCAAGGAGGTTCCCTAGTCTTGCTCAAGAGAGACGATAGTCAAAAGTCTCTCAATTTGTCTCATTTAAGAGAGGCGCAGTCAACAGCCTCTCGATCAATCTCATTCAGGTAGAGGCGCAGTCAACCGTCTCCGTCACGACGTTCAAGAAGACGCAGTCAACCGTCTTCGTCAGGTTGTTCAGAGAGAGAGCCAGTCATCTCGAGATCAATCTCATCCAAGATGTCAAGGAATTTTGCCATGCTGAGTTCACTGTCAAAGGAACTGGGTCAAGCATGGAGTAGTTTCATCATTTGTCTACCCCTCCCGCAAGCGAGCAAAGTCACAACCTATAAGATCGTCATTGCCAGCAAGAGGTTGTTTGAGTGTTGTTCTTTTTCAAGCTCGACATTCTTGTCATTCATGTCTTCGCTTGAGGGGAAGTGTTGAGGATATTAATTACTTAATCAAAAAGTAATTAATTCCTTGTCCTACAAGTCCCTAGTTTTCCTTGTTCAAGTAAAAGAAGGAAACTTGGTTGTCATTAGGGTTTTAACCCTACATCTATCTCTATATAAGCTTAGCTACGAGATTGTCGTAAGCAAGCTGTCACAATGTAATCGTTCAATAAAACGTCAGTTGTGAGCTCTTCCAAGCTCACCGTAAATTAGTCTCGATAAATCAGTCGATCGAGAATATCACGTAAAACTCTTGTATTCTGTGTTCGTTTCAATTCCGCGTTAACAAATTCTTCATTCTTCTTCCTCACCTCTATAGTGAATTTTCATTTCCTTTTCTACTTTCTCTTTCTTTTCCTCTATTCTAAAACAAGGGAAAATTTTTGTGGGAGCCTTATTTTCTTCAATTGTTTCTTCTCCTAACTTTCCATATATAAAGAAAAGGGGGCAGGAATTTTTTCCATCATAATTCACACATCTTATCCGCCATAATCCAAATAGTAGTTAGTTTGAGAAAAAGAAAAGTAGAGGCTTTCGTGTCAAATCCTTAGTTAGCCCTATTGCATCAATGAGAGAATAGTTGAGTCTGTCATAAATAATTTTTTTCTTTTTTGAATAAGAGTTGTATCAGTTTATTATTTTTTTTTTATAATTGAGTGTTATTTTGAGGGATCTAAATACGAGACCTCCAAATTAAAGATTAGTAACATTACAACTAGACCACACCGTTGTTCATGGGCCAGGGTTTATAATTGGGTAAATGCCACATTTGGTCACTGAGATTACTAAATCGTGTCATGTTTAGTCACTAGAAAATTTTAATATAAATTTTGGTCACTCGAATTACTGAAACAGGTCACATTTAGTCACTCTCCCGTTAGTCTCCGTCCAACTCCGGTTACTTGAATTACTGAAACATGTGACATTTAGTCACTCGAATTACTGAAACATGTCACATTTAGTCACTCTCCCGTTAGTTTCCATCCAACTCCATTAACAGGTCACATTTAGTCACTCTCCCGTTAGTTTCCATTAATGGAGTTGGATGGAAACTAACGGGAGAGTGACTAAATGTGACCTGTTCAGTAATTCGAGTGACCAAAATTGATATTAAATTTTTCTAGTGACTAAACATGACACAATTTAGTAATCTCAGTGACCAAATATGACATTTACCCGTTTATAATTGGATTAATTTCTCATCCTAAAGGGGCGGGCACCCCATTTGCGCATCAACAGCAAAGCAATGTGAGGTAGAGGAACACGCTCATGGTCATCGAATCATGCAGCTTCAACTATACCGTTAGCATTTAGCAATATCTACACCACTTTTCGACGAGATGCTAGACCAGAAAACACCATCATGTGTACCGTCCCAATCAATGAAACAGACAGCCATACACACTCTGTACATATTCATTCCTTTAGTCTATTCACTTGACCAATTTTCCCACCCAAAAGAAAAGAGTTCAATGACCCTGTTTCTACTCCTCCAACTATAATAATACTCTTTGCCAATCATGTCTTCTGTCTTTTCTCGAGCTTCCAAAGCAAAACAAAAACATAATGAATAAAGAAGATGATGGTAAAGAAGAAGAAAAACCTCCGACCTCATGCTTTGAGGTCGGAGGCTGAAAGAGAGCTTCCCATAATTACAACAACTCCCATGAGAATTACAAGGAAGACTTGTACAGCATCACTGAACAGGAACAAAAGCAACACAGGGGAAATAAAGGACGGAAGTTGTTTTAAACAACTGGTAATTCCCTACAGAAAATGAAAAACTGCTTCCATGATGCTGTTTCCTGTCCTGTTGTCTTAACTAACGACAAATATGACACATGATGATGATGACGATGATGCAGAGAGGGGTGGGTCCACCACCCCATCGTGACTAAGCTCCTCTACTTCTGTGACTATTATACACTCCAAATCCAATGCTGGGGTTTTGGATTGGTGAAGAAAGAAAGAAAGAAAGAAAAGACCAGCTAAGAACCCTAAAAAGAATCATATGTTGATTCTAACCCTTGTCGACACCTTTGTACCTTCCTACAAGTTTGTCCCCATCCATCTTCCTTTGCTTTTTTACACCTATATGGAAATATATATAATACAGTTGCCAGATCAACCTCCCATGGCTTCTGGCATCCCGGCCACATGTACACTACTACTGCCAACAGGAGACTCTCCCTGAGCTCTGTAAGCAGCAGCAGCAGCATGACTGGAGGGCATTAGGAAACAAGGATTGATTTCTCTGTTCCCAAATTCCCCCCTTTTCCTCCCACATTCCTTCCTTCTCCACCACATGGAGCGACTCGGACACACGATGATGGCTATCAACATCTATGGTGAGCATGACTATGTATGACCTGCACCAAATCCACACACCTAGCAGTTTAATGCCAATCCTCACTGTGCTGATTGGTATATATGGATAGGTGTTTAGCAGTTTCGTACCTCTAGAATGCAAAGTAAAATGGCTTGCAAGGCTATAGATTCGAAGCCCGCCACTCAAGTAGCAGTTCCGCTGCTCTTAGTCCTGCTGCAGTCTTAAGGAATACCTGTAGACAAAACGAAAGAGAAGACACAACATACCTTTAAATATCGTCATCAACTTGGAGACATGGTTCCCGGACAATATTGCAAGCTCTAGGTTGTCATCCACTCACCTGGATCAACTCCTCACCCAGCTGTTTGGTCAGAACCGCTGCCTTGCATATACTGAGAAGGAGAAGGAACCATAAACTGTGGTTGTGCAGGAACATGTGTTGCTATCCCTGAATAACCATTTCAACGTACCCAAATGGGTCTGCCTACGTTAGCAGTTCATGCTTAATCAATATTTCTCACCCCCCTCAAAACCAACTCCACCAAAAAATGCATAAAACCAATAACAATTAACTTGAGTGGTGCATGTGTGTGTTTCCACTTAGAAAATCTCGTATTACCATGGACGGAAGTAGATGAAGATGACTGTCATAATATAAACCTTTGAACCAAGCTTATGAAGTTTAACGAGGACGAAAGTGGGGATGCTATGCATAGATAATTGATGGTCATAAAATTTCAAGAGTTTAATATAAACCTGCTGGATATGGTGCTTGAATTGAGGGCATAGCTGAAGTCGTCATACCACTAACGCTGGGAGCACCAAACTGCACCAGCTGATGGCCTGGCATGGCATATCCCTGCATTGCTGGATATGAGTGACCACCATAAACTGTTTGACCTACCTGTCCATAGGGATAAACAGTTGTGTTGACCGCCCCGGGTACTCCGTATATCTGAAGGTACTGTTGGCCAGAATAAGGGTTGTAGACACCCTACAATTAATTTATTAACAAATAAAAAAGATAAGTCTTTGCTAAATCAATAGAAGAAGATTCAAAATGAACGACAACTAGAGTTTCTATTAAAGTTAGGGTTACCTGTGGGTAAACATATTCAGGCCCATAGGCTGCATAGCTGCATAAGTAGGAAGAAAACAAAATTGATGATGTCGGAAACGTTGGTAGCAACAAGTCTTGAGATATTAGAATGAGTAAATAGTGCATTCAATATCATTTCACAGCAAGAGAAGTGATGTTACTAAATAAACTACATGTTGTCCTTCCAGGTTCAAAGAATAAAGAAATAGATAATGCAAGGTGAGGACCAATGAAAAGTAAAGGAGCCTAACATCTGAAGCCTAGTTATCTGGGCTCTATGTCCAGGTCGGATAAAACCATGGTTGTGATCTTGCCTGTTAAATAAACATTGAGCTGACGCACATATCCACTGGAACTACGTTTTTGCATTTCCTGCAATTACCAATCACATGACATCACTTCTCTGGAGAACCTAAGAGCCTTGGTGTCATGACAGTGGATGTCATTATCATAGACGAATAGCCACGAGTCGAGAAAAGAGTGAACTATTAGAAAGCAGCTGCAGAGGACATGTACTCAATCTAGGAAGAAACGTCAAAAGCGCAGAAATATGAATGGAAGATCAACCAACACTATAATTGCGTTCACTGTACTGATTATTAAAAAATTGCAAACGCGAATGTAATATCTTGGAAACGAACAAAACAAACTGCCCAGAAAACAAGGAACACTTAGAAGTCCGGGATATTCCCAAAAGTACACCAGCAAGGAAGAACACTTTATTTTCAAATACCAAGTCAGCATCTCATAGCTACAGGCAACCTATGTAATTTGTTAGGCACTGTAATTGAACCACTCACCCGTATGGATGATATACCAATCCTTGCTGGTAGTTATAAGGAAGCTGCTGCTGGTAGCCAACACCTCCAACGTAAGCTCCCCTTCCAGCTTGCACATTGGCAACATATGGGGTAGCTGGTCTCAAGCGCCCTAAAATAAAACCCAGCAGTGACAGGAGTAAGCACGAAAGACAGACAGAGTAGAAATACCAAACATATAGAAGAACAATCAATTTTCTACCATTAAACAAACGTATTAAGTGGACAAAGAGATGGGGTATTGCCAATGTAAAGCATCTGGACTTTGAGTTTACACCTTAACTCATGTTGGAACACCCACCCATAGATAGTAGAGACACCTACCGTAAGACATTGGCTGCCGTGGCCTCCCAAGCGATGCCAAATTGCAGTTTGCTCGTCTGCCATCAATGACTGGGGTGGGATCGGCACAGGCCCTCCTAGCAGACTCTGGATCCCGGAAGGTCACCTAAACCCTCCAGGCAAATACAAGCCAAGAAAACGTCATTCTCGAGGAATGAGGTGAAATAAAAGAGAACTTTAGAAGAAGGAAAACAGATTGACATTGCGACCACCACAAGATTGACAAGGGAACCAATCAAGTGGCAAACAAAACAATCACTAGGCAAGCAAGCACGTGGAATCACGAAGACAACCAATCAATGAGCAGGGTATGCAATAGAATAGCAAACAAAGGACAAAAGGGGGGGGAAAGACGGGAATGATACTCACAAAACCGTAGCCCTTGGATCGGCCGGTGTTCTTATCGGTGATGACTACCGCCTCAAGAATGTCCCCGAACTGGTCAAAGTAACGGCGCATGGTGTCGCTTTGAGTTTCCCAGGCCAGGCCGCCGACGAAGACCTTGGTGTAAGTGGTTCCCTGTGACAAGCCATGGCATCAAAGCAATTAAGGAAAGGAACTGAAAACAAACAGTCCGCTCTGGTCCGAAAGCAATAAGAAGTCGTAATCCTTTTCACGGATACGATTACAGATATAGAAACAAACGAGACAGTCTACTCAATTTCCACATCCACAGGTCAAAAGCGAAAAACAGTTCAAGCATAAGAGAATTGGCAATGGCTGCAACGTGATCTACTCCACCTAAACCTCCCACAGTATCCGGGGGATCTCTTTTTTTGGGTGGAATCAGTATCAGGTTTTCGTTACAGTAAGCAGATCTATCCTCAGGAAAGGCCGATCTGAGCTAACATCGATAGTAACGAAGGAAGAAGAAGGCAGACTAGAAGAAAGAAAATTGCGATGAAACAGAGAGATAGCAAAGGGCTTCGGGATGGGCTCTAGCGGAACAGAGGACTGACTGTGTGCGAGTGAAACTGAAAAATGGAGAAGAGGAGGAGGAGGAGGAGGAAAGCACCTGAAGCCATGGAGGGAGCTCCGGCTGATACGGAGATCGGAGTTGCTGAAGAGGGGATACTTCTCTGGGGATGCCGAGATCGGAATCCATGACTACTGCTTGTTGATTGCAAGCAGAAAGCGGCGGTAGGTAAAGGCCAAGGCATCGGGCGAGTACTAGCTAAGACCAGATTCTCACAAGCCGAAGCCCACCGTTACCTTGGGCCACCTGATTGTTTTGGGCCTAGTCTTCCGCTCGTTCTACCGTTATTTATGATTTTTTTTTTTTTTTTTTACAATCGGCTTGCATTCATAATAATCAAACCTCAGGGTTACATAGGGGGTGAGAAAACGAGACGGTATGGATATCCATACCGTTTGAAATGACTATCCAATGTTATTTGGAAATCAAAGTTCATCTCATATCACAAATTCGTACGAATAACGGGATCCGTTACCCATACGAGATGGATAACAGGTACCCAAATTACCCGTTCATACTCGTTCAATAATAAAAACATTTACAAAATCAGACCTGAAACAAAATATTAAAATTACACTTTAAGCAAACTGTTTCATAAACTGTCACCAATTCACATAAGTTCAATAATGGATCTGAGCACATGCTGTCCATCAAGACCCACTTTACAAAATACACACAATAGAAGAAATAATGAAGGAGAAAACCTACAGTAGCAGTATCTTGCCTAGTTGCAGATGTATAAAGGAATATGGAGAGATACAACTAGCTAGCTATAGCTTGATTCATTCCTACAACAGAGTCCTCCTCGCTCCAATAAAGCTCGGGTTGCAGGCGCCACATGGGCTTGGATTGGGTTTTAGATTTGGGCTAAATGTCTAAATCTAGATGACATTTAATAATTCTAAATGGGTAATACGGGTACCCAAACTACTCAAACGGGTATTAGCGGGTAATCCGCGGGTACCCAAAGTTGAAATTCTTAATCTCAAATCCCATCCCGCAACAAATATAACGAGTATTTGGGTACCCGTAATCCTCGGAAAACGGGACGGATTTGGGTATACCCAAATACCCGTTTCCCGTTGTCCACCCCTATATCAACTAAAAGTTGGGGTATCAAGAAAATAGGAGGATGAAACAACCAAATTTTCGTCTCCTCATCTCGACATTTCATCCTCCAGATCGTGTGGGTACATTCATTCCTATTCCTTCCCCAAAATCGCCATTCCACATGTCCTGCTTCTTCAGCTAAGTCTCGTATCTCATCACAAATCCCCACCACCTCTATTTTTGTGGCCTCCCTTCGATTGATCTTCTAAATTACAGATTGACAGTCAGACTCCATCAACACAGGTAGAAAATGATGCGCTCAACCAAGTTTCAGTCCCCAGAGTAGGGCTTGGACTTCCGCCATCTCCACCGGCCATTTCATCCTCGTTCGGTAAATCGCCCCCATCTTGAAATGTCCTTCTCCATTTCTGGTGACCATACCATAACCTATTCCTTCTTCACCTAGGATCGTTGCGTCAGTATTCAATTTGAAGGTTCCTAGTGGCGGTGGTTCCCATCTGACCTGGATCCTTGAGACCGGAGGCTGTGTTCCCAGCGATTGATGAAGTTGGTATTCCTCCAGGTAATTATGTGCCCTCAGCGCTATTTCCCATTCCTCCAGCTTCAGATTATTGAATAGATGATTGTTGCGCTATTTCCCGTTCAGCTCTTTTTTACTCGTCCCCTCAACCAGATTGCATAGCCATTCCTCAGAGCCACACCCTACCAGCCCAGTCACACTCTCGTGTAATGCGTTCCCGTGTTTCCATAAGCCCACAAAAGGGCATTCATCATGTACTTCCTTTATCCTCCTGCTTAGATTAGCCCCAGTAGGTAAAATGTTATTGCACCATCGCCAAATAAAAATTCGCACCTTGGGAGGCAATTGAAGCATCCACAGTTGTTTCCAGTCAATGGACACATATCTCTCCATCTGGTTAAGTGCCTGCTTCTTCTGCCTTCTTTGTATCCTGACCTAAAAGAGTATCTCCCCATCTTGTCTCTTCCCCAAATTCGTGTGTCTGGCTTAGGTTGAGGAGGTAATGTAATCTTCCTAATTCGTTCCCGATCATTTGGTTGGAAATTGGATTGCAAAATGTTGCTTTTTCGTGACCTGGTTTCCCAATCAATCAAATTCGATACCCTCTCTGTAATTCCCAATCCAGTTACTTGTGATTGGATTTTGAAATTATCTGCTCCTGGAATCCATCGATCCCACCATATATGAATGCTTTCACCATCTCCTACCCTCCATCTCGTGCCCTCCTTTACTAATGATTGAGCTTGCATTAAGCTCCGCCATATGTAGCTAGGATTGTTGCCCACTTCAGCTTCGAGAATGTCATAATGAGGGTAATATTTGGCTTTAAGAACCTTTGCCACTAGAGTCTTTGGCTTCTGGAGGAGGTTCCAGACCTGTCTTCCAAGTAGGGCAATGTTAAAACTGTGGAGGTCATGAAACCCCATTCCTCCTTCAAACTTTGGTCGACACAGTTTCTCCAAGCTCATCCAATGTATTCTTCTTTCCTCTTTTCTTCGTCCCCACCAAAAGCTTGCAATCATACTTTGAATTTCCTGAATCACTCCTTGAGAAATCATAAAAACTGACATAACATACATGGTTGCGCTTGTCCCACTACCTTGATGAGTATTTCTTTAGCTTCCACAGATAGGAATTTCCCTTTCCACATCTTGAGTTTGTTTCGAACTCTATCTATTAGTTGCGCAAAGACCGCTTTCTTAGCTCTTTTAATTACTGTTGGTAGGCCTAGGTACTTGTCATGGTACATAACCATTTTCATAGCCAAAATCTATCCCATTGTCACCCTTTATGCTTCTATTAGATTGGTGCTAAAGAATAGCTCTGACTTGTCCAGACTAACCTGTTGTCCTGAGGCTTGTTCATAAGTTCAGAAGATGTCACGTAGTGTTTCTCTTGCCTCTCTTTTGTTCTTGAAAAAGAATATGTTGTCATCAGCAAAAAAAAATTATGGGTTATCATAGGGCCATTGCTGTTAACTTTGATTCCTTTAAGTCTGCACTCTACTACTGTGTAACACCTCGAATTCTGGTTTAGGTTCGATTAAGGTTCAACCAAAATTTTGGGAAGATGGTTGGAAATAATAAGAGGTTGAAGAAGGAGGAACATGCTAGAACACGGGCTGGAACACGACCGTGTTTCTAGACCATATTCGATTAGGTGTGTCATTTTGACGAAGCAGTACACGAGGCAACATAGGCTTGAACATGGCCAACGAAAACGCCCGTGCCATTAGATCGTGTTCAGTTAAATGCTCGTTTTAAGACCCTGACAGGCTGAACGGGCCATTCTAGAGGGGTTGCAGGCGAAGCGTAACACGGGTTGGACACGACCATGTTGGTAGGCCGCGTCACTAAAGTTTCTTAAGTCTTAGGAAGGTAAGGATACTCGTCCCTAGTCGCTCCAACATTCGTTTAATCCCTACTAGTAACGTGAGATCATTAAATCTTGAAGTTGGAGGCAAGTAGGGATCTTTTGGAGGATTTGGGCGAGTTGATTCAAAGAGCCTTCGTTCTAATTGATCCATCGGGGTCTAGGCACGCTCTGGAGGTAAGAAACGTGATTCCATTTGAATTAGTTTTGGTTTCATAAGAGTTTTTCGTGTATCTACAAGTCAGGGGATTTAGTGACGAATATTCTGGATTTTTCGTGACGAACACTAGTAGTTGCTAAACCGTCAGGAATTTGTAGAATAACTTTTTAAGCGATTTATAATTATTCGACACCCTTGTAGGCTTGGTAAATTAAGTGTAATAATTTATAAAATTGTAAGAAGGTCATTAGAAGCTTGGGAAGTAATATGGGAATTTTATAGGAATAATTAGAATTTTTAATAATTATTTCGTTGCATATTTTAATTTAATAAATCTTATAAGGCGTTTTCGGAAAATTTCATAATTTTCCTAGGGATAAGTACTTCTAGACAACTAGGAAAAATTGTTAATTGGAACTTTCAAGAGGTTTAAATTATTCTAAAAATTATCGGTAGGCAAAGCTATATTAGAAAAAGGGTTATTTCTAAAAGGTGATGTGGTTTATAGGATATCGAGATAGTACGTAGAGGAAGGAGTTCTTTGGGATAAGGATCGGAGAATCGTCTTTTCAAGGTGAGGTAAAGGGGTTAAAATCTTCGTCGAAGTCTTTTAGTTTATGTCTTTGATTTCAAGTTATGCTAGTTAATTTATGAGTTTGCGCGATCATGTGTGTGAGACATTCCACCGCCTACTTAAGGTGGAGGCATGCGTTGTGCTATGTATAAATGAGTGTATGGTTGATGGTAATGGAACCTCCGGGCTGTTGGGCCACTACTAGACGCGGTAGATGGTCGGGTCACTACTGGACGGTGATACATAACGTAGTAGTTGACTGGGCATGGACGGGACACCGATACGT